CCTATATTGTGTCATTTTCATTGTTAGCTATGAAGAAGGTCTTCAGTATTATTACTTATAATAACCATTCCCTGTCCAGTGATGCTCTTGAAACATATCTGGATGTTGCCTCTTCCCCAAACATCTGCAGAGGTTCCCTTCTGAACTCTTCCAGTCAACAGGAAGAATGACATATTACTCGCAGAGTGGAGCGATTTGTTTATTTATTTGTTATTTTATGACACTGTTGGATGTAATGGAGCCCAGGTGAAACTTTCCCCAGTCCGCTTCCTCTGCTGGGCTTTTTCAATTATTCTTCCTGATAATGAGACTGTGTGTTCCCTTCCCCTGAACGGACACCACATCAAGCGCCCCTCAGAGATATGCCCATTCCCATAATAGCAGAAGACCCAATAACCAACTCTGTGATGCAGGAAGACCTACCTCTCTGTAGCAGCAGGAGATCACATGACTGGACCCTCTGATGCAGGGGTTATTTTTCTTCTTCCAAGATTCTGACAACAGGTAAACTGAAGCTCACCACTACCATTTGTCAGCTGACCTCCCCTCCCCCAATGCTCCATCACTGTCCCAGCTGGACCCTTGTTTCCTTGAGCGGAGCCTTTGTCTCACTGCCTGCTTCTTCTACAGGCCAGTCTAATTATATTTCTCAGTAGTCAGGACGCTTATTAGAGCCCCTGAGAGATTTTGACTGCTGCAACAAAATCTGTTACCCCTCCATTCAGCCCTGCACATGGGAGGAAAGTTAGCTTACAGTGGTATGTAGCCTTGTATCCCAAGGCTCCTTGCATCACACTGTTCCCACAGTGCCCTGTGGGCAAGTGGGGTGACTTGGTTCCCACATCCATCATATCTGTCATGATTGTCATTCTGAACATTTCTAATTTGTAACACTATTCACTAAGATTTCTAGCAGCCCCAAAGTCATGTGCTTTGTTAGGTGATGGAATATTACTGAAGTTTGGGCTTTCTACACTATCTTGCACCCGCTCCACTCCTTCCTCTTTTACTTCCTCCTCCTCCTCTCCTTTTTTTTTCCTTTGCCTCTTCTGCTTTCTGCACCTCCTCTTCTTCCAAAAACATATTTTCTATCATATGTCATATCTATCGTTGTGATATAACTCTCACCTTCTGTCTTTCCTTCATTTAGAAACTGGAAATTCTACAGTTACAGGATGGATAGCTATGTGTAGTATGTAGTATACATATTTCAGAATGCAGAAAGTGCACAGTATGACTGAGATGACTTAGCAAGTCTGATGGCAGTTTTTGATAGCGTTTTGGGAAGGGTCTTGGAATCATTTCGACTGCAGAGGTGTCTGACTGAAAGGATTGTGTGGATGCAAGGGGGAAGCATCTTCCAAGCCATAGCCATGGACTCTGTGCACTTGGGTATGATTCTGACTGCAGTGACTCTACTTTCAATCAAGTGAACATGAAACTGAGTTACAGCCAGTACAGAAAATGGATGGAGGGGATGACAAAATTATGATTTAGTAAAGGACAACAGGTTAGAGGGAGACCTATATCAGGGTGAAGTATTGGTGCTATTCTTTCATTCTATCTTGTAATTAGATGGAAGCCATGAATTAACATTTATTTACTTTTTTATTTATTCGTTTGTTTCTATTTTATCAATATTTTAAATTTTCATTTACAGTAAACACGAATGAAGTGAGATATCATAATTGAGTATTACAATGTTACTTGTAATACTTTGTTCTTCGCAAACTTTTTTGAGTTCGCTGATGACAACCAGTTGGCTCTCTGACAGTAGTGGGAAATCATTAGTCTCCTGAGCAAGTCTTCCAAGCTCACACACTCTGAAACATAACATGAACCACATGTGGGGTGGTTGAAAACTTTCTGATAGCGTTGGAGAGTCCAGGCAGCATCTCTATGCTTGAAATGGTTTGGGTGTGTTTGGTGACTGCTCCTTGAAGATACTTGAATGACCAACCCATGGTACACTTTAGTTAAAACAATAGTGCTACTATATTAATGAGTTTCTTGAAGAATTCGCTTAGTGGGGGTTGGAGTCCAACTGGGTCCACTTGGCACGGTGGCCACTGATTGGCCTATTGTAGCCTGCCCTGGGTGCTTATGATGATGGAGAATTTGGTGGAATGAAGATTGGTAGGGGAAACTGAAGTACTCGGAGAAAACCCGCCCCACCACCACTTTGTCCACCACAAACCTCACTTGACCGGACCCAGGATCGAACCCAGGCCACCGTGGTGGGAAGTCAGTGACTGACCGCTTGAGGTATGGCGCAGCCACAGTTTCTTGAATAAGTGACTGTTTAAGATAAAATACGGACTCCATCATTTTCCAAGGACCAACTTCCATCATATAAATTAAACCTCAGTGTCTCTATAGTTCTGGCTCCCTAATTTCCCCACCATTTTCATGCACAGGGCTTTTATCCCGATGTCTGAAGCAATCCAGGTGTTTCCCTTATAAATCAGTCATTAAAGGGGGAGGGGGTGAAAAGTTGAGTGTGCGGTGTCAGTTTGAATATTGAATGTAAATATTGCAACTAAAGTGTAATGTAGTTCAAGTGCCATATCCTTGTCATTCAGAACCTCATTCCCAACCCACATGATTTTCCCAAAGCTTACATTATGTAGGATGTAGCTGCATGACCAGCAACTTGGAACACACCATGTCATAAGTGGTGCGCATTGTTGAAATCATTCTGCCACTTCCCCACCCTCAGGATCTTACCCAATGACTAAACAATAAAGGAGAAGCAATGGGTGTATTGGAGGTTAGAGGATAGTTATAATAATAGGGATGGTAGTGATTCATGAGGATAATGATAATATAAATTGAGCCACAGACTAAATTCTCACAGCAGTCAAGATAAGTCTTTCACATAACAGATCATTTCTTGTGCCCTTAGAAATCCAGCAGCTAAAAGGAGAGACAAAACAGAAATTAAATTTTATAAGGAGGAGCAGGATTCATGTAAGATGACCATACTGGGAGTGGAGGAGGAGGAGGAAGAAGAAGGAGAGGAAGAAGAAGAAGAAAGAATTTTTCCATATAGAGTATTTAAGGCAATGAAACGCCAGATTGATTCTGACACTATGGTTAAATAAAGGATGTGCACCGAGGAAACCTGGCAACAGGGCTGAGCGGACACAACATTCCTCACAGAGTGCTACTACTGATAAATGCAAGCACTCTCGCTAGAGAAGAGTGGATGAAATGTTTCTCCGGCAACTACGGTGCCCTTCCCCGCTAGCGAGAGTACAGTCGTGTTGCTGATTCCCTCATATCACTTTCTGTATATGCACACATTTACAAGAATACTGTAAAAAGATAACACAAACTTACCGTGCTATATAACAGGTGCTGAAAATGACCCCCTTCTGCTTGCAAACATGCCTCTGATCTGTAGTTGTGCCACAATATCCGTAACTTTTTCTTCGATTGCTTCTTTATGTCACATACTGAACCTGTGACCCGCCACTTTTCACAAGCTTCCATACACACAACTTTGTGGAAATGGGCGAATCAGGATATTTACAACAAAACATGCTTATGGAGCTGAGCCCTTTTCTCAGAGAAGCCTAATCTGCAGCTACTCAAAAATTTCCCAGCAATTTCTGGAACCGGAAGGTTCATCACCGTGTTCACAAGAGCACTCCACTGCTCCCTATCCTGAGCCAGATNTGATCTGTAGTTGTGCCACAATATCCGTAACTTTTTCTTCGATTGCTTCTTTATGTCACATACTGAACCTGTGACCCGCCACTTTTCACAAGCTTCCATACACACAACTTTGTGGAAATGGGCGAATCAGGATATTTACAAC